AAATTTTATTTGATGGTATCCCTAAAGAAGATACTAGTTAAGAATAAAATGAACTGTGTAAAATTTGAGCTCAATCAGACAACGAGAAAACGTGAAAACGCCTTTAAATAGTAATAGTAGTAGTAGTGCTTTATTGCTTCCTTTTCGGAGTTACAACCACAAACTCGAGTACCATAACAAAGATAACTCTGTAGTAACAACAGAAAAAAAGAGATATAATTCTAGATATAATTCCTCGCGTACTTCGTTAAAAAAAACCAAAGCTAAAATTGAAAATATACAAAAAACTGGAACATAACAACAAAAAGAATCGCCATATACGTTTAATCTTGTTATAAAAGTCTCAACCGAATAAATACTATCTACTATCGCTTAACAAAACGTATTGTCACTGACTGAATTAGATGGGATTAGAATCATCCACTGTATAAAAGAAGTAATACGATACGAAAGATCCGTACTGTTTCGCTCTACTGATAAATTCTTTGTTCTATAAATTTTCTTCCGACATATATTTTCATAAAAACAACAGTGTGAAAGATAATCGTATTTTTCTGGGAGATACCATCAAGCGAATTTCGAAGAATGTTTTCAATTTGCAGCAGTCAATAATGTTTCATTGATGCGTCATTAATTCATGTAAATATGATTCATATGTGATTTTATGTACATTTGAGCAGCATGTCATGATTCAAATATAATTAAAAGAAGTCTGCCTTAAACAGAATATTAACAACGAACATATAAAAATTGCTAGAATATTCTTTTCTTTATTATACCATTACATTATGTCCTGTTAATCTATAATATAATCAAGGCTGAAAATGCTGTTCATTATACGGAATAGAAATGTGCAGTCTGTCAATGAGAGCACGTGATAAGAAACGAGGAAGTGGCGCTCGAATGAAAGAATGGGTCACAAGCTCGTCAATCCGCACAGAGCATGTGATGCAGGCGATGCATTTTTCAGGCGAGCCCATGTACTAAAAGAGTGTAAAAGACGGAGACATTGAGGAGCTCCAGTGATATTTTGTCGAGACTCGGCAGATCGAGCACCAGAAGTTACGAGTCACGCCCCCCACTTTCGACAATGGCGCGACTCTGTGCCGCGTTGTGCTATCGGTGATGACGTGCGCGCAGCAGAACGCCGATTCTCACCTTCATTTCAGTCAGCGACGAACCGTGACGGTGACAATATCGAGGAGCTTGATACCCGGATCGAAGGAAAACATATGCCCTCCAGCATTACTCTGGCCAGTGCTCATGTTTGCATATTTCTTACAGTTAGTGTTTGATACAGCTAGTATCTATATGAATTCGGGGAGATAAACTATACAAACAGAAATAGCTCGCGGCGAGTTATCTTACCTCGACACTTTCTGCCGCACATTGAATAAATTATTTAATAAATGAATATGCACGTAGTTTTCACAAGGAAAATGTGAGTGATCAACATCGATATCTGAGTAGTACTGATGGTACTGTTAGCACTTGTTGCAGTTGCGTGAGGGAACTTACTCTAATGATTCACTCGAAACCGTAGTGCGCATGATCGAATTTCCGGGAGACGTTGCGTCGTCAACGTTCAAATTCAAGTCTACATATAGATATGCACCGTACAGTCCAGTCAGTAGAGCGAAAAAGTCGACCAAAAATGACAAAGTAACATACTAGTTTTCAGTTTTCGAGAAATATCTCGATTTTCATGCTATTTATAGAAAGAGTGTAACAGATCAGTTGTGTTCTTTTCTACTGGAAAATAGTTTTTGGAGTGCTTAAAAGAAAGGAGTTTGCGAAAAGTAAATGAAGCATGAGCAAAAACTTTTAGGTATATTACTTATTCGATTTATACTTAAAGATCTGGATGAATATATATATATGCTTAAACAAATAAAAATACCAACAGTGAAATATAAAAGATTATAGCGACCTCCTTTATTACTGTCTAATGTAAATGTGCCCTCTAGTGGTAAAAAGGTTGGTAGTGGTAAACGACTAACAGATTGGTTAAATATCAGAAAAAATTAGTCGTTAGTTATATTCACTCAATAAATACCCAATAAATGAGCATGTAGCATATTCAAAGAAATAACTAATAACTTTATAAATTACAGGAAACGTAAGATTACAAAAAATGCGGGCACAAGTCTGTGAAGTATTTATAGTAATATTTATAAATGCGTTATGCATTTTGTAAATTTTCGAAATGGTTTGGTGTTGTGATTGATTATACCTGAAATATTTACAGTCTCTTCAAGAAAATGTAAACGTAGAGAATGATAAAACAATCTATAAATCAAATTAAAACTAAATCAAATTAAGACTATATATAAAACATCATTTATATTGTAGCGACTTCGTCACTGCCATATTTTTGTTAAGATTAGAAAGCGGTTAAGGTTATTTTTTATGGTAGGGTTCTGTTTACTTAGTGTCGAACTGTATATTTAGCACATGGCCTGGCACTCGATGAGGTCGTGCCCTGCTTGCTTATGCCCTGGTAGTTTTTCCAGGAAAGATAAGCCTTTTGTATTTGTTTCATATAGAACGGTAGGAGCAATGGAAAACTTGTCAGGGCGTTGAAGCAGTTAGTTGGCGATGATCTACCAGGCACGTAAAAGCTCCGGTTATATTTGTTGAACTTCTATAAGTCGTTTGAATAAAGCTTCACCCATTATAAACCGTGGTTGAGAGTAATGTATTTGCCAAAATATTTCTCCCACAATGTTTAGTCGATATCGAGATGGTGGAGGCAGATTGGCCCTAGCGAGAGGGTGGAGGCAGACTGGCCCTAGCGAGAGGGTGGAGGCAGATTGGCCCTAGCGAGAGGGTGGAGGCAGATTGGCCCTAGCGAGAGGGTGGAGGCAGATTGGCCCTAGCGAGAGGGTGGAGGCAGACTGGCCCTAGCGAGAGGGTGGCGATAAACGGGCCCTAGCGAGAGGGTGGCGATAAACGGGCCCTAACGAGAGGGTGGCGATAAACGGGCCCTAACGAGAGGGTGGCGGCGAACGATGCCCGCGCGAGGGCGGTGGTGAGAGAGAACGATGCCCGCGCGAGGGTGGTGGCGAGAGAGAGAAAGGCGAAATAATCGGAGTCCATGTGAGGGCAGCGGTATGGGTGATTTTTTCGATACCCATGCGGTTTTTTCTTCTTAGAGGTCAATCTTTTACATCAATAATTAAATAATTATGTAAATAACTAGAACATTGCATCGATTTCTTTGTCAAGAACGAACGTTTGAGAACGTTGCGTTGAATTCTTTGTCAAGAACGAGCGTTCGAGACGTTGCGTCGATTTCTTTGTTAAGGCCGAGCCACGAGGCTCTTGGGTTGCGCTCACCGGAAAAATCCGGAAAAAACCCACGCCAATCCGGAAACAAAGGCCCGCAGGCCAACGTTCTTTTTTAACCGCTTGGGCCCAAGCACTTTCAGTTGGTTCTTCAACGCGACGACATCGTGTGATCTTAGAGAGTTTTTCTTGCATCGGAACTGTTCTTTCCGAGTCGAGTGAATGTTTGTTATTTATCGAGTTTTAAGTGCGAATTATGTTATCGAGTTAGTTGTATAAAAGACGCTGTATTACATTCGTCAATTGGGGTTTTTTATGCCGTCACGGCTTTTTCCCCAGCGAGCCAATAAACAATCAGTGATTTAGTGGCTCAACCGAGTGTACATACATACATTTTTTGTTTTCCCTACCAATCAACCTCGGAAGGACTTCGTATTGAAGGAATTTCGAATAAACACACAATATAATTATAATGTATAAGATGAACCTCAAATACTTGTCAATTATGTAATCGTAACGACCGGTAAAGCCACTATCTAAGGCAGGGATCTTGAAGCAAAAATACAATTTCTGAAACACAATGTACCTGAAGGTATAATGTATTTTTAGAAACGATAAGAGCAATAAATAAACTGGTAAGAGATCCTACGTGCGAATCGCTACGTACCTCTTTCAGGCAGCTTGGAATCCCGTTGAAAGCCAAAGTTCATTATTTTTACTATAAATGTACTAGTAAATAATAATTATTTAATAAAAGATCAAAAACCTATATAACAAATATTTTAAATTATGATATGCAAAAAATAATTTTGGATAAAAATAGTATTTTTAACAACACGTTTAAATACAATTAATAGTTTATTAGTATAATTCGTTATTATAATTAGTAGAATCTGTCGTGTTCTATTGGGTTGGCAAGAAAGTAATTTCGGGTTTTTAGTGTGAAAAAAAACTCAAATTTTCTATGCAAAAAATGAACTTTAATCTATCTTCCATTCTGTTCGATGACCTTTTGTCATCTTTCTGGTAACTTCATTATCCCGCGCTCATAGAATTTCTGGTCCTTAATAGCAAAAACTCAACTAAGTGCGATTTGAGGTCATCATTATTACTGAAATTTTTACCATTTAAGAAGTTATGTAAACTTCGGAATAAATGATACTCCGATGGTGCAAGGTCGGAGCTGTATGGGGGATGCGACATCACTTCCCAACCAAGCTCCAATAGTTTCGTACGTGTTGCTAAAGATGTGTGAGGCCTCGCATTGTCGTGGTGGAACACGATTCCTTTGCAATTTGCCAATTCTGGCCTTTTCTCTTTGATTGCTTCCTCTAATTTCATACGTTGTTGGCAGTAAACATCTGAGTTGATCGTTCGGTTGTTTGGAAGCAGCTCAAAATACACAACACCTTTGTAATCCCACCAGATTGACAGCATGATCTTTTTTTGATGCAACTCAGCTTTTGATATGGTTTGTGCTGGTTCATCATGCTTGGACCATGATCTTTTTCGATTAACGTTATTGTAGACGATCCATTTTTCATCGCCAGTGATAATTCGTTTCAAAAAAGGGTCGATTGCATTACGTTTGAAATTCGTATCACAAACATTGATTCGTTGTGTTAGGTGAATTTCTTTCAATTCGTGCGGAACCCAGATATCGATCTTCTTAACAAGTCCAAGACGTCTTATATGATTTTCAATTGTTGTGTGTGATACATTTAACTGTTTTGCAATCTCTCGCACAGTTATGTGATGATTCGATTCAATTATCGCTTTCATTTTGTCATCATCAACTTCAGAAGGTCGAGCAGAACGTTGATCATCTTTCAGTGAGAAATCTCCAGAACGAAATTTTTTAAACCAATTCTGACAAGTGCGTTCTGTTAAACAATCAACACCATAAACTTCACATATCTATTTGTGAGCCTCAGCTGCTTTCTTGGCTTTATGAAAATAAAAAAGTAAAATGTCTCGAAAATGCTTATTTTTGCACTCCATGTTAAAACTGATCGTAAACTGACAGGTGTGAACAAAATTACATGAAATTGATTTCTATAGCGACCTAAAGGTATTGACTACCAAATCTTAGAAGGAAAAAGTTCTAACATTGACAAAAGAATAACGAAACAAACATAACGCTAACTACTGGTACAAACTAAAATTACTTTCTTGCCAACCCAATATTATAGGTACGATTATGTTTTTTGGAGTGGAGAGTG